CGAAAGCTGTTTGATAAAACAGTTCAATTGTTTGTTGCCAAAATTCCCCATTTTCATCGGAAATACAACCTGGGGCACATAGCATCTAATTAAATTCATACAAAGTACAAATCATTGAAGAGAAACCAAAATGCTTTTCAAAGTAAATACCAATTAATGTGACACCCAATTCTGTTTGCCTTTTCTAATTACTTCAACGTGCACAGCTGATATACAAAAAATGTTCAATTTATTTTGTAGGATTCAATTACAATATGCTTTATATTTCAATCCAAGAATCACATCCATTGCTTTTGCAACCACAGGTTGGTTAGGAATTTTTTTTCCTCTTTGATTCTTACTGCCCCCCGCCCCCCCCCCCGTTTGCCTTCAGATTGTTTTTGAGAATGGTTCTCACCATCCAGCACTTTTCTTTCTTCCTCTGACACATGACCTGTGTTGCTCTGCTACTCTTTATCTTTTTCTTCCCATCGTAGTGCACATACAACAGAAAACTACGAGGCCATATCTACAGGAGTTCTGACAACAGTGTGGCACTCAACCTAGCTTTTGAGACAAGCTTTCAAATAATACAAACTTCTGTTCAATAATGCTCTCCCAATGACCACCTGCAAAGGAGCAAAACTTCGAGGAGAGGCTGATAGATGTATGATCTGGCACAAGAACGGCCAAGAGAAGCTAGTCCTGAGTGAAGGTAAGCAGCCACTGGGTTGCCCTGTCTTGGGGGCCAATGGTCAAAGACACTTCTAGACACCCTCATAGAGAAGCAGAGCCAATTCCAGAAGCCCTAAGACTGGCTTCTTGGTTATGGTACACTTGTTTGCCACTTATTCAGTAGGCATTTAATGAACATCTACTGGGGCTTGGTTTGAAAAAGACAATGCTACAGGGCTCAACATTTTAGGAAGAAGGGCAACTCCAGATCTTGAAAAGGGAAGAAACTGTTTATCTCACAAAACTCACTTCATACTTACACATTTTAAAAAAAGTAAAAACCACTTATAAAATGAATTCCTTTTCAAGCAGGCTAAAGTCTCATGAGCACAGTTGCTATAGTTTTAAATTTTACCTATGCTCTCATAAAATGGCCGCCTTCTTTCTGTGTCACTCAAGGTATCTAAAAACGGGAGTAATGACATATTTACCACCCCCACCCCCCCCTTTTTTTAAAAAAAAACTCACTTTGAACAATAACATCAACTTATGTATCAAAGGACTTTGAAATCCTACTAACTATTGGATATATTTGTCTTTAACTTTTGTCTCCCTACTTTGTTCACTCTGTGTATCAGATCAGTATGAGAGAACTTTCCAAGATGGAGAACTAAGTGAAATTTATACAGGTTTTCAAGCCCTTTGAGGCCAGGGTCCTGATCTCAGAGGTTAATTAGCACAGTATATGCTTGCTGACTGAGTATCAGGGACAGCGAGAGTCTGGATGGAGTCTGGAGCTGCTCTTCTTCATGCCAAAGCAGCAGTCAAGAGTAAAGAGGACAGTGTGCAGTATGAAAAGCTGTCTTTCAGATCTTCCATGTGCCTAAGGTAGCACATGATTGGGCTTTGCATGCCTGGTATAAACTCTTCAAATATTTATAGACAATTCTCTTTGCCTCCAGCCCTAGTTGTCACTTAGCCAAGTGAGACATACATGGTTCTTTTAATCTTTCCTTAGATATCAACCCCACTAATCTCCTTACTCTTTCCAGCTGCATTCCTCACAACTTTTAACTGTTTTTCTGGTGACTTATTCCATGGAAGTACATAAAAATAATATGTGTGGAGGATGAAGGGGTTTAGTTACCTTCCCATGTCAAGGTCCACTGTCTTTTTTGGGTGAAAAGTAAAACTATCTTCTTTCTTTTTCTATCATCACATTTAAAAAATCATGTGTAACTTGCTAGATCAATCAATATATTGCAAGACAAAGAAAAGGAATCAGAATTATAGTCTCTGAAGATGTTATTGTTGATGGAACTTTTTGTGCGTCTACAGCGGCTGGTCTTGCCTGCAGTATTCGAATGTAAGAGATGGGAGTCCAAAGCGATGTGGTCACAGAAAGATTTGGTGCCACTTCAAGACCCTAACTTCAGCTTTTCACAAAAAATAACAAAGTAAACTGAAACCAGACAAGGGTGTTTTTGAATAGGACTCCACAAACCACAAGATCTCAAGAATAAAACATAGACAAACGGGGTATTCATATAAAAAGGTTGTGCACAATTAACCAAGTGCAAAGAAACATGGAAGAATGGGAGAAAAATACTTGCAGGGCATTTTTTTTTCTGACAAAATGTCGATATCCACAAAATATAAGGAACTTTAAAAACTCAAGAGTAAAATAACCAAAAATCAAAACCCTTTTTAGAATATGGGTAATAGGTTTAAATGGCTATTTCTCAAAAAAAGACACATGAACGGTTAACAGGTGTATGAAAGATGTTCAACATCACTAGTCACCAAAGAAATGCAAATCAAAACCACAATGATGGTTATTATCCACAAGACAAAGACCAAACACTGGTGAGGATGTGGAGAAAATCAGAGGCAATGTGGCCTAGCCTATCCTATCCATGTGACCCAGGGGTTCTACCACTGAATACGCCCAAAGGAGATGAAGTCAGTCCGTCCAAGAGACTCGCACACTCACACAGGTACTGCTGCACTGGTCACAGCAGCCAGCAAAGAAGCAACCTGTGCATCCCGCAACTGATGGGAAGATAAAGAAACACAGGGCGTAAGCAGAAAGTCTGCACTAAGCTCTAAAAGAAGGAAGCTCTGTCATCTGTGACAATGGATATAGAACTGGGAGTTACTGTATTAAGTGAAATCAGGCGCAGAAAGAGGAGTACTGCATTATCTCACATCCATGTAAAATCTAGAAAAAATTTATCTCACAGAAGTTGAGAATGGAATGACCATTATAAAGCTGGAGACAGTGGGGAAGGGGAGGGCGGGGGGCACTGGTGGCTCAGGCCTCTAATTCTAGCTACTCAAGAGGCTAAGCCTGAGACGGCAGTTCAGAGCTAGACAGCACAGAAAGTCTGTGAAACTCCATCTCTACTTCACTCGCAAAAAGCCAGGCTGGAGGCATGTCTCTAGTGGTGGAGCACCAGCTATAAACCAGAAAGTTAAATGGCATTGTGAGCTTTGAGTCCAAGCCTAGTGAGGGTGTGGAGCTCTCAGTTCAAGTTCTGGCATTGGCACAAAAAAGACACAGGGGAAAGGGAGAGGGAAAAGTTACCCAGTGGTTATTTAGTTATAGTCAGAAAGGAGTAAGAAGTTCTAATGTATATTACTTATATAATTTATTTTATATATAAAATATACATATATAATATAAATACATTCCAACAAAACCTAGAAGGGGCTCAGTTTGGCGGCTCCTGCCTGCAGTGCACACAGGATGCACATGTGCTGAGAATCACAGTCCTGCCTGGACAAGACTACGAGACCCTGCCCTAAAAAACAGCTACAGAGAACAGGGCCAGACACATTTCAGGTTCTGAGTTTAACCCTTATATATCAAAGGAATGAACAAACACAAAGCCCTTTAGAAGAAAAGATTTTTCAAAGATTTTACCACAAAGAATGACAAAATTTTAATGAGACAGGTAAGTTCAATGTTGGGGTAGGGGTAGAGATGCAGCTTAGTTATAAAATGCTTGGCTAATATGTACAAGGTATTAGGTTTGATCCCCAGCACTACTAATGAAGCAAAAAAGTATTTAACATGACTTAAACATTATGCAGCATTGTTATTTTACTATTATAAAAGTAATACATTAAAAACTTCAACACTGTGGAATGACTAAACCCAGCATTATCATTAACATATGCATTACTTCACATAGTTATAATTTGTGAAGATACTTAACATTTTTCAAGAGTGTAACATAGATCTCTGGAATTTTATTCCTCATTACTCGAATATCTATATCAAGGCTCTGAAAATATCACCCCCCGCAACTTCTCTAGCACTTGTTAACTACCGTGCTAATTCTAATGAGATCAACCTTTCTAAATCCTATGAGTTAGTTTGGGTGAATTTCTGTTTCTGCCTGGCTTATGACCTCCAGCTTTATCCATGGTGTTCAAAGGGCAGGATTTCCTCAATTTTAAATGGCTGTATGGTAATCCTATGTAAATATACCAGCACATTTTCTTTATCTATTCATCTTCTAAGATACTTAGGTTGATCCCATTCTTGGCTGTTATAAACAACTCTGCAATGAACATGGGAGTGCAGATGTTTCTTTTACAGACTAAGTTCCCTTCCTTTTAATGTTTCTATCTAGTAGTGGGGTTGCTGAGTCGTAAAACAGTCCTATTTTTAATCTTTAAAGTATGTCTATACACTTGTTAACAATATCCCTTGAGTCTTTCTGATGTATTTTCCCCCTTATACACACAATCACTCCACGTGCACGGGTTAACACCTCCCCTTTTCTCTTAATGTTATGACAGAAAAGTTCCTATGTTGTACTGTCTTAAAATCATGTCCACCCTGCCTGGTGCTGGGTATAGAAGCCAGGTCCTTGTGTATGCTAGGCAAGTGCTCTACCACTGAGCCATACTCCAAAGCCCCAAACCACCATAGACCATTCTATTAAGTACATGTGCTATAATTTTACTGGCGGACATCAAAGTCATTTCCATTTTCTTTTCTCTGTTTAAAATGCCACTATAAAAATGCTCTATGAAGCTTTTCTGTGTTTAAGGCTGTTTACGGATTCAGAAATTAAAATCAGTGGGTCAAGGGACACACAGAAAATAAATGCTAAAGTAGAGAATCGAGGCAAATACTAGTTGAAATGACTTTACCTCCTAGGTATAAAGATTTGTCTTGGTACTAACTAGTGAACACTCAAATCTTAGAATGCCACAAAAACCTGTCTAAGAGGGCACAGTCTAAGCTACAAGCCCTGTCCACGGCACTCTGCTCCTTTATTTACACAAGCGTATGCATGGCTGCTCGCTTGGAGCTTAGTTTGTCGCCTTACCTAGATCTACCATCAGAAGACGGGTGAGGGCTGTGTAGAAGGTTGTTCGGCACCTGAGGTCACTGAGACTGTAACTGTCACTGATACCAAGAAAGGGGAAGTGTTCACTCTAACAAAAGCAAAAGAGCATCCAAGATTACTAACGGTTGACCTAAACTATCAAACAATTCTGGTCATCATTAACAACGAGCACTTACCGTGTGGTTTTTTAGCATGAATTTCACAGCATCCATCTTTACAAGTTTTTTTAAAAGAATATAGGTATAACAGAAGTTAAGGACTCTAAGGAAAGAATTTGTCTTATCAATATATACTAAATCACAAAATAACGCTGGACTACAATGGCATCAGTTTCTATTTATGATGAATAATTATTATTTCCAACAGTATCCTGTAGAATTATTTTCCATTCTGCTAAGAATGATAATACATTATTAACTAGTACAATTACTTTTCCATCTTATACATATTCTAGTTATAGAAAAGAAGAATGGATTTTATAATTAAGACAAGAACTCTTTTACTATTAAAGTCTTGAAAGTGGAAAATTAAAACTGACCCTCTCTACTCTTTGGGTTGTAACCCAGGAATTTCTTTTTATTTAATGTTATTTCATAGTAAAATAATTATAAAGGACCTATAATAGGCAATTCTTAAAGACAATTATTCAATTTTAAGAAACAATGAGGGCTATGAATGGTAGTGTATATTTATGAAGGAGGTATAGATCAGAGGACCATGGTCCATGATTGGGTCTGGGGGTACAGTAGGGGTTTAAGAATCTCTCTAAAAAATAAAAGCAAAAAGGTCTGGGGCATGGCTCACATGGTAGTATGCCAGAGGCCTTAAGTTCAAATCCAATACTACATACACACACAAAAGGAAATAAATGAACTCAACAGAAATCTAAGATCAGAATATAGTTATGAGGATATAGAAAATCGCATCACCAAGTGTTGAAGGATAGCTTAAAGAATTAATACTTCTGGGTGAAAATGAGGGAGGGGATGACACTGTTCAAAAAGAAATCTACTCATTACCTTACCTATATAACTGTAACCCCTCTGTACATCACCTTTACAATAAAGTTTTTAAAAAGAATTAGTATTTCTTAAGTGTTTAAGTAGAAGGCCTTCTTTTATATTATTTCACCCAATCTTTACATGGTTAAACATGATTTATAATTAATATTCTGTAGATATGAAAACAGAAGCTCAAGAGAAACGGAATCACTTGCCCAAGATCACGCAGAAGAGGTTCACTCTGCTCACTGTAACGAATAAAGTTGCGGAGTTACCAACATAACTACAAAGCCCAGATGGTTTCTAGTGCCAGGTGAACTGGAAGCACATCTCGTCAGAACGTCATCATCCTTCTCTTCGCACACTCTTGTGTTTTCTGCTTCAGCTAGGGTATCTTGGTCATCCCCTCTAGACAGACCCATGCATTTCTTTAAAAAGCTGTAGAACTCTTCCATGGGTCCAGTCATGTTGTAAGACAAAAATGGCTCCTTCCCTTCTTATTATCTTCAAAAAGGTACATCCATGAACTGCCCCTGCAGAGCGGTACTCAATTTTAGCCTCAGCTGACAGTGTCAAAGAGTGAGAAATCCAGTGAGAAACCTGACCACACTCAGTTCAGTTGGCCGGACCTCTCTGAGTAACACCCTCAGCCTACTGAAACCTTCGTTTCCATTTCCAACAACTGAGAATGAAGCCTAGTCAAACATGTCTTACAGCATTGTCTGGAGGATCAGAGGATACAAAAGGCTTTGCCAATTCCAAATCAGGGAAAGTAAGTAAAACATGCAAAGAACTTACAAAACTAGTATTAGCTATAAGGTTTACTCAGATAGGCAAATGACTTCCCCAAACACAATTCGTATGACTTGGATGTAAGCCGTGTAACCTGACCACTACCGTTAAACAGCAATTGTGTACACTCACCCACACTTTCTAAGGACGCTATAGCACTCACGCACTTTCTGAAGTGCGTGGTTCTGGAAGGCACTCAGGCACCAAGTCTTTCTGGCAGGTTGAAGGACAAGAACAGGCAGCAAGTTTTCTCCTGCATCTAAAGATGCATGTCTGATGATTTTTCATAATCATCAATCACAGGCAGAAGGACTGCCATTCAAATTTCACTCAGTTAAACAGGGGTAGGGATCAATAAACTTCAAAATATCTTAAGTAATTACCATATACAATTCTCTTAAAATTGCTAAGTTAAAAGTGACAGGGTCTATGGGTAATATAAATACTGCCATTAACAGGGATCTTTCTTGTCAGTGATGTTAATAAACAGCAAGGCATGCTTTGACAATACAATATTTATGGAAGCAATAAACACCGCATTCACAGGAAGAATCTCGTCTGCCAAACACACATTTTCTGCAGAACTGCATCTGTGCACTTTGTGCCAAGGCCAGACTCACTGCCTTTTAATTACATTCCTAAGAAAAAAGCGATTAAGGATTTTTATTTTTTTCAATAAAGGAGAGACTGAGAATTCATCTGAGTATTTATATTTCCTTATAAGAATTCAGTACAAAGCCAGTATGGCCTTAAGAAGATTAGTAATGTTAAAAAGAAAAGGCAAGTGGACCCAGTTATGATCTTTTAGCTTTCCTTCTGCTCTGACAGACCACGGTTCTCATAAGCTGTGCCATGTGAACTGTGTGGGGCACTGGGTGACATTACAGCCTGTAGCTCATAGCAATGAGCCCACCGAATAGCTGTAATAGCAGCAACCATGTTAGGAGTTCTGAACGGGACTCACCCATGGAGAAAAGGAGAGTCAAGATTTACATACAAGTCTGTCTGGCCACAAGTACATTCACACGTCAGCCATGCAGGTATGCACATAGTGTTCATGAACGTTAAGCACAAGAGAAGAGATTGGAAGGAGAATGGCAGGGATTCCTCTGTAGAACTACTGTGCAGTCAGCACAGAAGGACTAGGGCTTACAAGTACTTCAGGCTGGCTTTGCAGTCTTTGGTAGGGACTGAAATCCGGAGGAGACCTCGCTGAGTGGTAAGGCATTAAGGGAGGAGAACGGCACATGTGGCAATTCAGCGCAACACAGAAAGGGGAAGGTAAACACATTACCTCGGTCCAAATATCAAGTACAAATTGTAGTTGAGTGGTGCCAGGAAATTAGATAGGGGAACTCAGTAAGTCAAGTACCGTAAAGGACCTAATTTTGCTCTGGCCTAAATAACAAGTGGAAACGATTTGGGCTTTTGAGAGAGGCAGGGTGACATCTAAACAACACCTGAGGGTAACACTGTGAGACAAGGCCTAAAGAGCCGGGGAAGGCCCGAGGAAGGGCGGCGGAGCAGCAGAGCAAACGCTCTTACCTAGGCCTCGTATGAGAACAACCAAGTAGCAAAGATCATGAGAAGACTTTCCCAAGGCTGATAGAGACAAAGAGAGAGAGAGATGAACGAGCATTTCTTTTGATGAGTGCTAAGAGAAGTATGCCTGAGGGGTGTATAATAGAACTAGTTTTCTTCAGTGTGCTCACAAACATCTGTAGATAATGGTATTCATGAAGTAAAGGAATTCTCCTCTTCTACTGGTTCCTGACGACTATCACATCTAGAAGGTGGTGGGTAAGGTTAAAGACACAGCAAGGATGTCTGGTTGGGCACATTACTTGGTACTTTAAAAATGTTTTGGAGCTGGGAGCGGGTGGCTCACGCCTGTCATCCTAGCTACTCAGCAGGCTGAGATCTGAGGATCACGGTTCAAAGCCAGCCCCGGCAGGAAAGTCTGTAAAACTCTTACCTCCAACTAACCATCAAAAACATGCAAAA